CTTTTTATTTACACAAAAAAGTAAAAATGCATACATTCGCCACATTGTTGTAGTCTCTGGGTCTGGCCTCTGGGTTTAAAGAACTTGAAATAGAGTAGCAGCAATTTTTGTAATAATAGGTTTTATATCGGGCTTTATTGGACACACAAAGACGCTTCACATCATCATTCATTCACTCCATACACGGTGGTGATAAACTACTACTGTAGCCACAGCTGCCCTGGGGCACACTGACAGAAGCGAGACAACCAGTCTGTGCCGTCGGCCCCTGATCTTTACAGCCCTGACGTGACTATAGGACATAAACAAGTTGAGTCCTCGTAATGTTCCAGACACATTTAAGAAAGTTCCCACACCAAAAATCCCCTAAAAATCCTTTGAATATGTGATACTAATCTCCATGTGATTTAGTCATGATCAGCTGCAGACCATTTAAAGGTCACTCCATGGAGAACGCAATGTCCTTTTTTCTTCTGTTTTTATGTTTTTTGTTTATTATTTGAACCCATAGTTTTTTAATCATAGGCCTTTACCAAATGGTTGAGTTGCAGTTTGACGGTAAAGTGGCTAAAACCAAGTGATAGAAAAGCAACAAGGAGGTAGATTTCAGTCCAAAGCTTCCAGTAGATGAAGTGACTCAAAAAGTATGGCGTCAAAATAGGGTCTGCTTAAACGTAACCGTAAAGCAGGAATTGTAAACGTAGGTTGTAAGTATTGTAAACATAAAAAAAATATTGTAAACGAAAAAACTGTAGCGTAACCGTAAAGCAGGAATTGTAATCGTAGGTTGTAGTATTGTAAACATTAAAAATATATTGTAAATGAAAAAAATTAAAACTTACATTTACGGTTCTGATTTTTCATGTTCCGCTTCAAAAGTTACGTTTACGATTCACTAGTTACGTTTACGATTCACAAGCTACGCTTACGAGTCAAAACTTACGGTTACGATACATTTTTCATCTGACCCCTTTTTGGAGGGGCGGGCTCAGCGCGCCCATTGGCTGGAGACACCGGATGTTACGTCATCACAAAACCAAAACACACACCATTCAAAATTCAAGTCTCGTTCGAACTCTACATCGTATGATTGATCACATTTTTTCAACTGGGCTGGCTATTATAGGCTTTCACGTGGTATGTGCACTCTTGTGGACACCCTAATTACACCAGGTCATGTTTAGATCGTGTGAAATATGCTCTCGTGATAACGTCATATGCCTATGTTGCCCCCAGGCTAGCCAGCTAAGCTACACCTCGGGACCTTCACCACCACTGTACGTTGTTCACACTGAATGCTTTGTCATGTCAGGATTATCTACTGCTATCAAAGGTGAATAAAACTATGTCTTTGATTTTTTGTTTGCTTATTATTTACATAATTATGGCGGCTTACCTAATGAGCCCATGCTAGCTAGCAATGAATTTTGTCAGTCCATAACCTGTACATAAAGTTTTGAAACAAATGAGGTAACTAGCTGAATGATTAAACAAATCTGTGAAACTTGCTAAATAGTACGTTCCATTGGCTTCATGATATCTTATCAAAATTAACTTAAAGTTAAGTAGCTCAAATCGGGGCTAACCTGTTAAGGCCATTAAGTTTACGATATTTGGCTACTGTACCTGTACTGTGTTTGCTAATTTAGGATGGTTAAGATTCCTAAAATCACACAGAAACTCTGTTTAGTTCTGATCTTGCAGGTTATCTCTGCGATGGGCACCAGCACCACACATTGCAGACCAGCAAGATGTAAAACTGTGGTTTTATAATAATCTATATAAATGTGATGTATTTTCATGTCTTAGGGACCAGGTCTGCAAATTAAGTGCTAGCTATACAGCCTATGAACATGGTATCGGCCACCTGTATCAATACTTTTAGTTCTGTGCCTATCAAATAAACATATAATAGCACTTATTCTCACAGAACAGTGGGTTGTAGATAGGAGTAAATGGCTGTCTGTTACCTGGCCTAATATCTATAACTTCCTCATCCAGACATACAGTGTTTATACATGACTGACCTCCTCCAGATCTCCACACCTGCCCGCTCCCTCCGCTCCCCCTATCCTCTCCAGCTCTTGGTCCCTCCTGCCCCTCTGCTCCTCCTATCCTCTCCAGCTCTTGGTCCCTCCTGCCCGCCTTTTCACCATGTGGAAGAGAGCTTCTCCAAATCCACCCTCAAAACTCATCTGTTCTGACAAGCCCACTCACTAACATCATAACCACACTCTCCTCTCTCCATGATGCTTTTAACTGTTTTTAAAATACACTTTTTTTACTTGGTTGTAAGGCAAAAACAAATTATTAAAAACAAAAAAAACATAGCATATAGATCTATAAATACATACAATTATGTGGACATGTGAAATACTTCCACTCTGGGACTGAGTTCTTTGTTTTGAGGCTGATGTGCTCCCAGTCAGAGAGTGGGCATTAAGTCAGTACGTCTACAAAGACTCGGTACATCCTTACCCTGAACTGTTCCTGTATGGCAGGGTATGGACATGTAACTTGCTTTTAATGTTCAATTACAGTCTTAACCTGGTGCACACCCATTAACCCCTTTATTAGTGTAATCTGCGTTATGTTTTATGTTCTGCGCTGTCTGAAGAAGGAGCAGGACACAAGGAGGACCACTGAATGACATTTACTAGTAGCTCTGCACAAAATAAAACACATCCACTTCACGTCTATCCATGCATTCAGCTCAGCAGTCCCCTCCTCAGATGCAAGGCGCAGTTCTCCTGATAAAGGGAAAAAGCCACATTAATAAGTAGTTACTACATTTTGAGTGGTATACAGGTTGAAAACTTTTGTTCTCCAGTTGTCTTTGTATTAATGGTAAAAAGACAAGTTTGATTTTAGCTCTAAAATATTGGTGTGCTCTTCATCCACTCACAGTATCAGTATTGTTGTGACTAGAAGGCTACGCAGGCTCACTTATGAACAACTGTTTAGTTAGTTATTTGAAGACTGTTTCTCCTCAGACTAAAACGAAGGAGCCTCCCTAGCTACTTATTTAGCAAAACAGCTAATGTTAGCATTTTAGCAACGTCAGCTGTTTGTTATAGCGGCGCTAAAAGTGAGCTGGCTTTAACTTGACTGATCATGATTAAATCAGGTAGCAGCGGGTTCTCTTCTTATAGCGACATGATGTAACCAAGTGATCACTTATGGGTTGGAGTTGGACTTTTTCATTATTAGCTTCTGTAGGACACAGACACTTACCAGCTATGAAGTTTGCTCTTAGCATTTATGTACGCAGGTCTCCGTAGATGGCCTGAAGCCTGTTCTTCGTCTTCTGTAGTAACCAGACTGTAAAGATTGTAGCAACGTGCGTATGTTTTGCTTTTGTGACATCCGGTGTCTCCAGCCAATGGGCGCGCTGAGCCCGCCCCTCCAAAAAGGGGTCAGATGAAAAATGTATCGTAACCGTAAGTTTTGACTCGTAAGCGTAGCTTGTGAATCGTAAACGTAACTTGTGAATCGTAAACGTAACTTGTGAATCGTAAACGTAACTTTTGAAGCGAAACATGAAAAATCAGAACCGTAAATGTAAGTTTTAATTTTTTTCATTTACAATATATTTTTAATGTTTACAATACTACAACCTACGATTACAATTCCTGCTTTACGGTTACGCTACAGTTTTTTCGTTTACAATATTTTTTTATGTTTACAATACTTACAACCTACGTTTACAATTCCTGCTTTACGGTTACGTTTAAGCAGACCCTATTTTGACGCCATAAAAAAGTGACCCACCAAATGGTTGAGGAGACTATGAAAGGGTTAAACAGTTTCTACCACATGATTATCGCCAACAGCAGACCTCGACACCGCACCGATCCTTGAAGACGTCGTTTGAAACAGACCAGACCTCCGCAGTGTTGTCACGGCACTAAAGTCACCAACTCCATTCTAATAATAAGGAATACCCTCAATACTCAATACCAATTTAAATACTACGGTTATAATTTACAAACAATAATGTATGGACAATGGGCTGTAATGTTTGAGTAACAATACAATATTATATAACTTTTTAATGACATCACAGGGTTTTAAACTTGATCTGAGAATCTGATAATGTGCTGCTTATGTTTTATTCTTGATTTGATACTTTCTCAAATGAATATCTAGTTTAGAGCCAGATTTTGTACTGATTAACATCTGATTCACAATCTTTTGACAACCCTAATAAGAATGTATCTGTCTTGCAGAAAAAGATTATGAGTCTGATTCTGGGTTCATGATGAACACTTGGCACCAGTGAGAACGGAAAAACTCCAATTCACAAAAAATGAGAGACTTACAACCTAAAAAGAAGAGTTCAAACTAAATATTTAACTTGAACACCCAAAAAAAAATCAAAAGTCCAGCAATGATGAATACTTTCTATTGGTCAATACAGAAGAAAAGAACAGACTGAGATACATGAAAGCCAACAGCAGAGGTCAGCAGAGAGCCACAGTGAACGTCTCCTGCAGCTACACACTTGACCAGCAGAGGCCAGTATAGAGTCAGGACCACATAATACAACACATACAGTTTACTAATGTTTAAAATAATTTGTTCACACAAAAATTCATATGGAATAGCCTGTTATGATATTCTAGAATATCAAATCACATAATGAAGTATGTTTAATCAATTTAAACAATTTTTATCAATTATAACAAATGTATTACACTTACCTGCTCTTCCTCTCATCACCATTAGTAACACAGATATTTCAATATTTGACTCTTAAAGCTTTGCCAAAGTTAAAATAAAGACACAAAGCATTATTGAAACGCCTTCATCTAAAGGTGCACCTACAGCCACCTGCCACTGGGGGGCAGACTCTGCCTGTTTCTCATGTGGCATCATGAACAAACTAAAGTCATATCAACCTTCAGTGGTTGAATACCCAAATGAAATCTTTACTGCACCAAAACAACTACTGTGCTGAAATTTTAACAGAAAGAGAAAAAGTATAAATATAGACTTACAGAGCGCAGATGTGGTAAGAACCTCTCGATTTCATTCATGTCGATCCCATCGTCGACATCACACTGGTCTTTCTTAATCCTGTGACAGAACAGAAGTTAGTGGACATTAAGTCACTTTATGAGTTATGATTATTATCATAATGATCATAATTACCCGTCTCTGTCGATGTGTGGCAGGTGCTTTGGCGAGACCCTCAGTGGTTTCCTGTTGAAATGGCTGAAGTCCAGCTTCTCCGGCTGCACGTCCCAACCAGTGCCACTGGACAACGACACAGATGGGGCCAAAGAAATCACGTTTATTTAATGTGTTTAGAGATTTCAGCCTCAGTATAAAAGGAAAGTGAACAATGCAACACATTTGAACATCAGTGATTGTTCTCCTGGTTTCATAGTTTCATAGTTTCTCTGCTAAAAACACGTAAATAAGTTTAATAATAATATCTGTGTGTGTAGCTGACGAGTCATAAAGACTATTTTCACTTGTAATCACTTGGTCTTGTAATTACAGTGGTCCCTTGTTTATCGCGATGGTAAGAGAGAGACCAGAGAGAGACCAGAGAGAGACAAGAGAGAGAGACCAGAGAGACCAGAGAGAGAGACCAGAGAGAGAGACCAGAGAGAGAGACCAGAGAGAGAGACCAGAGACAGACCAGAGAGAGAGACCAGAGAGAGACCAGAGAGAGACCAGAGAGAGACTAGAGAGAGAGACTAGAGAGAGAGACCAGAGAGAGAGACCAGGGAGAGACCAGAGAGAGACCAGAGAGAGACTAGAGAGAGACCAGAGAGAGAGACCAGAGAGAGACCAGAAAGAGAGACCAGAGAGAGACCAGAGAGAGAGACCAAAGAGAGACCAGAGAGAGACTAGAGAGAGACCAGAGAGAGACCAGAGAGAGACTAGAGAGAGACCAGAGAGAGACCAGAGAGAGAGACCACAGAGACTGCAGTGGTCCTCTGAACTAATCCCCACGGTGCACACAAGCCACAAACATTTCTCCTGACTTTAAATAAAGATAACTGTCCTGTTATACTAGCCTTATATGATGCTGTATATGATGTTATTGGATTATAAACACGGCACATGAAGCACACTGTAAAACCCACAAACCGCGAGGGACCACAGTAGAAATAGGCATTCAGTAATATTGCTACCATTACAACCTGTTTAAATCACACACACAAAATCAACACTAGGCTAGGTTTTTAAAAGGTTCCATCTCCACGCTGCCCAATGGCAAAGCACTTACCCAAGAGAGTCCATTGTGTTGGCAGCCCATATGTCCGTTCCCAGGATGTCGAAGCCCTCCATGTTGCCGTTCTAGAAGAAAGAATATAGAGGGATTTAGATTATTTTGTACCTGCACAAGACACATTTTTACACACTTCAACATAATAGACACATAAGTACAGTACACAGGACTATAAAGCCAGTATAGAAGGGGGACCAGCTGAATGTTAGGAGAAAGTCCATTTTGTCCACATATAAGCCTCACCTGAATATAAGCTGCAGGTTTTCATGCTGTAATGTAGCACTGAGCCAACAGGTGGATCACTACATGATCTACCATTAGAACTCCCAGAGCAGTCAATTTGACGGCTTTTAGTTGTGCATGTGTAATTACTCATCTCATGTGCATTTGTACTCTTCATAACTTTGTAACTTTCTTTGTGTCTTCATGTAGTTATATTCTATGTCATTATTTTTTATGAAATTATTTTTTACTTTTGAAATGTGAGTCGGCCTAACGAACTAATTTTCCAAAACACACACACACACACATGTCCAAACACTCTCTGACCCTACACCTAAACCCTAAATATTTTCAACTGAAGAAATGATTACTATAAACAATAGTAAATAGTCTGATATTCTTTAAAAGCCAAACATTGTGTAATATTTCTTCTTCAGAGGTGATGTTTGAACCCCTCTCACCTTAGCGGGGCCTCTGAACTGGTTGTTTCTGCTTTTGCTCCCAGACCGAGAGCCTGATCCAGGTCTGGAGCCGGAGCTGGGTCTGGACCCAGTGCTTCCGTTGCTGCTGTGCTCCCATTCGTCCTGAGAAAGTCAGAAGAGTTTAGAGTTTGGCAGAACAATAGTGAGTTGTGCTGTGTCCTCCTTGTTCCCACTGTTCTGTAACTTGTAGCGCAACACTGAAATGTCCCCACAGTGGGACTCATAAGGGTCGCATCATCTTCAGCTCGTGTTTGATTTCTATCATAGAACTGAGATAAATCTGATTTGTATGAAATTCTATCCTCCAATTAGTGTCACAGATCTCTTTTATTGTAGAATTTCTGCCTCATATTTTCATTTCATTGTAAAGTTTATTTTGAATATATACATATATTTTAAAATAAAAAAACACATTTTAAATCAACATTATTATTAAAGAGTTGGTAGAAGTAAGATGTATTTATATCCTACCCCCTTTTACAATACAATTAATGATCAAAGAACTGTTCTCCATCATAGACCATTACTTTAAAGGTAAAGAGGATTTCCTTGGATTTTTGTATCGCCAAGAATAAAAGGATAATAAAACAACAAATACAGTGCCTTGCGAAAGTATTCGGCCCCCTTGAACCTTTCAACATTTTGCCACATTTCAGGCTTCAAACATAAAGATATATAAATTTTAATTTTTTGTCATGAATCAAGAACAAGTGGGACACAATCGTGAAGTGGAACAAAATTTATTGGATAATTTAAACTTTTTTAACAAATAAAAAACTGAAAAGTGGGGCGTGCAATATTATTCGGCCCCTTTACTTTCAGTGCAGCAAACTCAGTCCAGAAGTTCAGTGAGGATCTTTGAATGATCCAATGTTGTCCTAAATGACTGATGATGATAAATAGAATGCACCTGTGTGTAATCAAGTCTCCGTATAAATGCACCTGCTCTTTGATAGTCTCAGGGTTCTGTTTAAAGCGCAGAGAGAACCATGAAGACAAAGGAACACACCAGGCAGGTCCGAGATACTGTTGTGGAGAAGTTTAAAGCCGGATTTGGATACAAAAAGATTTCCCAAGCTTTAAAACATCTCAAGGAGCACTGTGCAAGCAATTATATTGAAATGGAAGGAGTATCAGACCACTGCCAATCTACCAAGACCCGGCCGTCCCTCCAAACTTTCATCTCAAACAAGGAAAAGACTGATCAGAGATGCAGCCAAGAGGCCCATGATCACTCTGGATGAACTGTAGATAACTACAGCTGAGGTGGGGATGGTGTGTTCAGGGTGATGAGCTGTGTTGCTTTTACGCCAAACATATCGTTTTGCATTGTGGCCAAAAAGTTGGATTTTGGTTTAATCCGACCAGAGCACCTGGGGTGCGTCTCCCAGGTGGCTTGTGGCAAACTTTAAACGAGACTTTCTATGGATATCTTTGAGAAATGGCTTTCTTCTTGCCACTCTTCCATAAAGGCCAGATTTGTGCAGTGCACGACTGATTTTTGTCCTATGGACAGACTCTCCCACCTCAGCTGTAGTTATCTGCAGTTCATCCAGAGTGATCATGGGCCTCTTGGCTGCATCTCTGATCAGTCTTCTCCTTGTTTGAGATGAAAATTTGGAGGGACGGCCGGGTCTTGGTAGATTTGCAGTGGTCTGATACTCCTTCCATTTCATTATAATTGCTTGCACAGTGCTCCTTGAGATGTTTAAAGCTTGGGAAATCTTTTTGTATCCAAATCCGGCTTTAAACTTCTCCACAACAGTATCTCGGGCCTGCCTGGTGTGTTCCTTTGTCTTCATGGTTCTCTCTGCGCTTTAAACAGAACCCTGAGACTATCAAAGAGCAGGTGCATTTATACGGAGACTTGATTACACACAGGTGCATTCTATTTATCATCATCAGTCATTTAGGACAACATTGGATCATTCAAAGATCCTCACTGAACTTCTGGAGTGAGTTTGCTGCACTGAAAGTAAAGGGGCCGAATAATATTGCACGCCCCACTTTTCAGTTAAATTTACAAGTTTAAATTATCCAATAAATGTTGTTCCACTTCACGATTATGTCCCACTTCTTGTTGATTCATGACAAAAAATTAAGATTTTATATCTTTATGTTTGAAGCCTGAACTGTGGCAAAATGTTGAAAGGTTCAAGGGGGCCGAATACTTTCGCAAGGCATTGTAAATATTTTTTTCATTGGTTCAGATTTACACTCCTCTTTAGATTCTTGACTACTTTGTTCCATAACTTCATGAATTAAAGACACATTCTCTATTTTGTAATGAAAGATGAAGGTAGTTACTGGTTTAAACGATCCTCGACCATGTGACGACGTCCAGCTCCCATCTTTCTGGTTGTTGAAGTCGTCCGTCCACTGCGAGCACAAAGACTAGAGTTTCTCACAGAGCAATAAATGTAATGACACGTTTTTCTAATCATTTGATTTGATTTACCGTAATTTCTGGACTATAAGGCACTACTCTTTTCTAGTTCTTTCTTCCCTGCGGCTTACATAGCCATGCGCTTAAGGCCTCTCTCTGGCCTCTCTCTGGCCTCTCTCTGGCCTCTCTCTGGCCTCTCTCTGGCCTCTCTCTGGTCTCTCTCTGGCCTCTCTCTGGCCTCTCTCTGGCCTCTCCCTGGCCTCTCCCTGGCCTCTCTCTGGCCTCTCCCTGGCCTCTCCCTGGCCTCTCTCTGGCCTGTCCCTGGCCTCTCTCTGGCCTCTGTGACCCATCTTGCTCCACCCAGAGGCTACTCCACCTCTGCTGCTGTGACCCGAAGGGCTGTTGCTGATTATTACTATTGTTATCTTTTTTAGAATGATCAATTTTATTTTTTCTGCTACTGGACACTTGAATTTCTCCTACGGGGATCAATAAAGTATCTATCTATCTTCTCTCTGGTCTCTCTCTGGCCTCTCTCTGGTCTCTCCCTGGCCTCTCTCTGGTCTCTCCCTGGCCTCTCTCTGGTCTCTCTCTGGCCTCTCTCTAGTCTCTCTCTGGCCTCTCTCTAGTCTCTCTCTGGCCTCTGTCAGGCCTCTCTCTAGTCTCTCTCCTGTCTCTCTTTAGTCTCTCTCTGGCCTCTCTCTAGTCTCTCTCCTGTCTCTCTTTAGTCTCTCTCTGGTCTCTCTCTGCTGAAGCTGGACTTACCACTTGTGTCACGTTGCCACTATTGTCCAGCTCGTCATCTCCCTTTTCTCCCAGAAGGCCTTGCACCTGATACTCGAGCACGTAGCTGTCGATGAAGCGCTCCAGCTCTTCGATTTCCTGAGAGCGTGTGCTTCCGGCTTCTGATGATGCAGACGCGACAGAGGAGTTCTCCATCGCAGTGAGCAGAGAGACGGGGCGACGGGAGGAGGCAGACCTGCGGGAACCAGATCACAGGAAAGTCATTAATATCATCATGATCAAATCTTTAACCAGATTCTAGGTCCACACAAGAACAAGAACCACAGACACAGACAGCAAAAGACAAGACTTACAGAAAAGCTCATAAAAGACTATACCAGTGTTTCCATTAAGCAGACTGGTACCAGCAGCACAACCTTGGTCCCTTTCTCTGGTCCCTCTCTCTGGTTTCACTCTAGTCTCTCTCTGGTCTCCCTCTCTGGTCCCACTCTGTGTCCAGAGAGAGACTGGTTTCACTCTAGTCTCTCTCTCTCTCTCTCTGGTGTCTCTTCTTCTGGTCTCTCTCACTGAATGAAAGCTGTTGACCTGAGTAGTAAATAAAACATTTAAAAAAATCCTTTTAAAATAACATATTTGACAGGAGCAACATGACCACAGCTCTATACCTGTATATTCTGCATAAGATAAGATAAGATTTTATTGATCTCAAAGTGGACAAATTTACAATCTTCAAAACACAAGTAAATGTAAACAAAAATTGTCCATGACCAGTTAGGGATGTTCAACGGTGCAATACAATACTTCAACACTAAACTATAACTCTGGTATTTGTTTCAAATACCAGACTTGTATTTTCTTTTGAAGCAGTGCAGCTGGTGTGTGTATGTGGTCACCTGGCTCCTGCCGCCGTCTACTACTATAAGCTTCTTTACATCAGGGCTTGATCAGCAGCAAAGAGGATTTATCTCTGACACAGGATCAGCTCAAACCCGCGACACACTGGGAAACTGGTGCACTGGTTGTAAATGCATAATTAAAGCTGTAATTGGTCTATTTAATTAGCCATTTAAATACATATGAAACCCATGTCTGTGAGTTACTGCTGTGACTGAAGTTCTCCAAGTTATAAAACTGCAGCGGACTTGTAGAAGAAATGTTCAGTTTGCTCTCTCAGTGCCATTGTTTTGCACTAATGTAAATAGTAAATAAATACAGATTACTTTAAAGTTGTGGAGGGTTGAACAGCATGTGATCCTACAATACGCAAGCTTCAATGTATGAACAAATAAAAACAACAAAATAAAAAGTTGAGATGAGAATTTAGTAAAACGTGTGCACAGCATTAACTGCACAGCCTGAACCTGAGGAAAACAAAGACCGAGAGCTGCAGATCTCTGACAGACTCTGCAAGGTCAGAGGCACAAACTGCACAGCATCAGCAGCACGCCTCAGTCCAGGACACACACTCTCACTGTGTGTATCTGACTTTCACTGAGTTTCACTGAGAGGCAGGAAAACTGGACCTTTGGACTGATCTCATTTAAATCACTCCACTAAAATGCAACTTGGCAGCGATTGAGATTACGCTCAGTAAAGCACAACAGCTGTTATCTATGAGAACTTTATAAAGTTGCAGATTCCTCAACAATGGATCAGAGAATCAAACCGTTTGAACAAAGGAAATGCAACAATAACAAACACATAGAAGGCTTTGGTCTGTGGGAGCAGGAGGACCACTGTTCAGACTCCAGAACAATCTCAACATTTGCTTGAAGAACTCAATTGAACTTCCATTTCATACATGTGTCTAAAACCATAAAAATGATCAGGAGTCGTGTGAACGTCTTCTTTTTATGACAAAACAGGCTGCTCTGGGGGAACTATCAGATGTCCTTAGTAATGTATTAATCAATGATCAAACTGTTCAAAAATGACTAAAGTCAATACCTTGTCAAGTATTTACACTGAGCTCTACAGGAGTCATGCAGAGGTCTGTGCCCAGGGGCCTGAACTCAGACAGACACAGAGACAGAGCAGAAGACACAGAGCAGAGGAGACGGACCAGAAGAGACAGACACAGACACAGAGCAGAGGAGACAGACACAGACACAGAGCTCTACAGGAGTCATGCAGAGGTCTGTGCCCAGGGGCCTGAACTCAGACAGACACAGAGACAGAGCAAAGGAGACAGACACAGAGCAGAGGAGACAGAACAGAAGAGACAGACACAGAGCAGAGGAACCGGAGCAGAAGAGACAGACACAGGGCAGAGGAGACGGGGCAGAAGAGACAGACACAGGGCAGAGGAACCGGAGCAGAAGAGACAGACACAGGGCAGAGGAGACAGGGCAGAAGAGACAGACACAGGGCAGAGGAGACAGAGCAGAAGAGACAGACACAGGGCAGAGGAACCGGAGCAGAAGAGACAGACACAGGGCAGAGGAGACAGGGCAGAAGAGACAGACACAGGGCAGAGGAGACAGAGCAGAAGAGACAGACACAGGGCAGAGGAACCGGAGCAGAAGAGACAGACACAGGGCAGAGGAGACAGAGCAGAAGAGACAGACACAGAGCAGAGGAGACAGACACAGAGCAGAGTAAACAGACACAGAGCAGATGAGACAGATACAGCCTCCACAGTGGGACAGGCACAAGGAAATACTACTTTGAAATACTGGATACGGACTTTTGTTTAAATAGAAAGACAGGTAGTTAACACCTTGAGAGTTGCAATAACAAAACAGGAATCAAGTGAAAGTTTGTCAGATTTTCTGTGATCAACAAAGTCAACCCGGCTGCGACAGAAGGAGTGGACTTGTTCTCGCCCCATGCAGTGATATCTGCTTACATCTGTTTGGATACAGTAACATAGACGTATATGATCACAATCCTATAAGAACTTCATTCAAATCCTTTCTGAAAATACCGAGACAAGGACGATCTATTTGTATAGCACTGTTCAAGGAACCTAAAATTCCTCAACAAAACAAGATAAGAAACAACATAAAACAATAATCACAGACGCAAAGCATTAAACAGAGTGAAGATACAATCCTTCAGTTGCAGCAGCGAAACAGAACCGTTTTAACCTGGATTTGAACATAGTCTAAGCCCGTCTCACATTTTTAGGAATTTTAGCTGCATAAATCTGAAATACTGCCTTCCCATGTTTAGTCCTGACTCTGGGACCAGCAGGAGGCCTGTCCCTGTGCTCCTCAGTTGGTTCATATGGCACTAACATGTCACAGATGTACCTTGGTGCGAGGACAAGAATAGTTTGCTGTGCTTTTTCCCCAAATTGTAGAGACATTAGTTGAAGCATTATAACAGATATATTTAATCTATATTTAAACCACGATTTGGATTTGATTATGACACATTTAGCTCCACCTCATGGATCCAGCCTAACCGATAAGTGAGCACAGGGCTAATGTGTGATGATCGATCCTCCGTAACCGTCGTCCTGGGGGTAAAACATGATGTAACTCTGGTCTGAGCCAACGCTTTAAACAACAGTGACCTTTTTCCACTGGATATTTGTGGTGCTTTGAAACCAGCGTGAAAGGAGTGTGTAAAGCACCAACCACAGGCTTCCAACGTGTATAAAGTGCACACAAACCAGAGGCCTCCGTGCCCCGAGGGAACAAAGGTCTGTGGTGTGGAGCCCAACAAGATACAAACACACACTCACCACCCGCTCAACAAGGGCTGGGCGATAAAATGATATATATTGCGATAGACACGTGTTTGATATCAATAGAAAACGGGGTCCATAGAATGTTTGATAGTTCAACTTCACTCCATCAACCTAGGGCTGGGCGATATGGCTGAAAACTATATCACAATATAAGTAATTCATATCGGTCGATAACAAAATATATTGATTGTTTTTTTGTTTGTTTTTTTAAACCTAAATAAATACATTTGTCGTGTGGGCTAGCACATGTTAGCAGCCTTGTTCACAGTCACAGGGGAATGAGGCTGGAGCCAAATGTTCACAATCAGTCTCCCCCATAGTTAGTCCTGGTTTAATCCTGGTTTAGCTCCTGTTTTGGCTGTTTTTGAGTGTCTTGTATCTTCGTGACGGTTCCGGAAAAAGTTAATCACTTGCTTTTGCCGAATGCATCGAGTCTCTGCCCACTGCCTCTCCCGCGTCGCACATGCTGTTCCTCGCACGGACATGCATAACTATTGACACGACACTGAAACACGATCTTTAGATCCATGATCCATGGACGCTACGCATGTTGTTGTTTTTGCATTTATGTTTTGCGGTTTGTGGTCGGCTGTGATAGGACGAGAAGCTTTGCCTACATCCCCCAGAATGCTGCGCGCTTCTGACTAGGCTTTACTTCCTGTGCTTTCTTCCTGTAACTATCGAATATTCTGTCTATCGCAATATATATTGTTTTATCGCCCAGCTCTACATTAATCGCACCATGCGTAGCGTCCATGGATTTATACTGTAGATCGATTTTCAATGCCGTGTCAACAAAAAAGATTTAGTGTTATCGACCAAAATGAACTACTTATATTGTAATATATTGTAATATAGTTTTCAGCCATATACGCTCAACGCTCACCACACACTCAACACACACTCGCCACACACTCCCCACACACTCCCCACACACTCAGCACACACTCACCACACATTCAACACACACTCGCCACACACTCAACACACACTCGCCACACACTCCCCACACACTCCCCACACACTCAGCACACACTCACCACACACTCAACACACACTCATCACACACTCAACACACACTCACCACACATTCAACACACACTCAACACACACTCGCCACACACTCAACACACACTCCCCACACACTCAACACACACTCGCCACACACTCGCCACACACTCGCCACACACTCACCACACACTCAACACACACTCACCACACACTCACCACACACTCAACACACACTCGCCACACACAAACGAGTCAATAATGATCAGACTGTTGTAATTAAATACCATTTATGTGTTTATCTTTTTATATGAACTGTGATTGTTTATGAGGGTTTGTTAGTTCTATTAGATTCAATTCAATGTATTTTCGTATAGACCTAAATCACAACAGGTGTTATCTCTGAGGACTTCACAAAACTGTTGATTCTTCAACAACAGATCAGAGAATCAAACCGTTCAAACACAGGAAATGTGATGATAGAAACCACATAGAGCCGTTGGTCCAAAAGGGGCAGAGACCAATGTCCATAAATTGTTGATTGGTTCCACATCATCACAGCTCTCATTTCCCGGACATTTGTTTTTTTTATTATATGTACAGTACAGATGGAGAAGCTTTTATTACAGCCTGTCGTCAGTGGGAGCGGATTCCTCTCTTAATGTGGACCTCCCTGAGTTATCTCACTTTTTCCCACTGTTTTTTTTGTTGCGAGGTCCTGATGCAGGAGGGTCTGAGGACAGTGATCCTCCCGCTCCCTCTGGACCAATGGCTTCCATGTGTTTGTTATTATACCCTCTGTTTCAACTGATTGATTCTCTGATCTGATGTTGATCAAAAGACAACTTTGTGAAAATATTTGCCTAAAATATACATGTATTATTGTGTATATTTTTGGGAACTAGAACTGGTCCAGTTAAAGTGAACCAGACCAACAATCATGAACGAGCCCATTTCTTTTTCTGAACATCAGTAAAAGAAACTCATCATTAATAAAGAGACCGTACATTAAAGCTTTAAAGATGCAGAAAGAGTTCGGTTAGAGTTCAGTGAGAGTTCAGAGCAAGGATTAAATCATCTGACCAACTGTGATTCATCGTTTAACTTTAAAATACTGCTCTGATTTTGAGCCACAAAGATGAAGAGAAGCTTTATTGGTTCCACAGAGGGGGAAATGTCAGTGTTGCAGCACAAGTTGCAGAGCAGTAGGAATGAGGAGCACACATCACAAGACAAAAATAAATGAATATTAATTATAGAAAAACTATTAAATTAATCTTTATATCTAGCTTAACAAAGAAACAACGTATAAACCTGTTTACTCTGGTGCAAAGAAATATACTTGTTTAAATATTTACTTATATATCTGTAAATAAATCTATAATACACTCAAGAATCTTGAAGTGATAAGTGATTGAATAAGTAAGTAATCTTTATAGATCGCCTTTAATAGACCAGAGTCAATTGTTGTGGGCATTTGTCTCTCTCTCCACACAGAGATGGAGCAGGTCAGAACTATTGTACTTGTTTGTAGTGGTAGGGGAAACCGGAGCACCCAGAGGAAACCTACACAGCTGCACATAAGTTCTGTGGATTCTAATATTCACAGTGATATTTAGTCGATCCGTGGCAGCCAACCATCACTGTGTTCATATTCCCAAACGTATTAAAGTGGGGAAGGCAGCAGTGTTGAACTTGCTGCGACAAACTCTTCCTCTGCGTCTGTGATCCCATCGGTGCCAGAATAAAACTGGAATTTCAGGAATGTTGCGACTCCACTTGAAATATAAAACAGCAGTGAGTGTAATTAGACAGAAAGCCCTGAAAATGTTAATGAAGATTTTCTTTTCTCAGTCTTTAAGTTTGGCTCAAATCAGGTTTTTCACGATCACATTGGAGGACTGAGGCGACTATAGATTGTTCCATTATTCACTCTGACTTTCTCTGCGGTTTCTTTTGGTCAAGATGCAGACTGTGTCGTAAATGAATGAATGCAATTAACACATGTGAGATTGTGGCGCACAGAACTCCAATAGACAAAGACAATACCATACTGTTGATAAAGTGCATTCAATGTGTTTTTAAGAAAGTTTTGAGGAGAGTAAAAGTTCTGGCCTTTGAGCCAGAAGGTCGTGGGTTCCAGCCCACCTCAAGACTTTCACCATCGACTCCCTCTGATGTCTGCTGTCGTTGTATCCTTAGGCAAGACACGTCACCCCCATTGCCTAGAATGAGTCTGGTGTGTGTGTAAATGGTTGGTGGTGGTTGGAGGGGCCGATGGCACATACTGGTTGCCTCGCTTCTGTCAGTGTGCCCAAGGGCAGCTGTGGCTACATAAGTAGTTTGAGTGTCCAAAAACGCGCTATATAAACACGATGCAGTATTATTATTATTAAATATTACTCAATTACTAAAATAACTGCCCTGCCACGAGCCAAGGGTGATAGTAGTTAATACAGAGGAATAGGGCAGTAACTACAATTGATTAATCACAACTAATTGATCATTGAAGTAGTATCAACTAATTTAATTCTGAGAAGAGGTTTTAGGACTTGTAAAGTTCTATAATGACTGCCGAATGAAATGAAATGTGTAGTAGATGTTCTCCAACAGCCTTGTTTCGGTCAAAGGTGAAGATTCTATTGATTGATTGAAAGAATAATCAACTATCTGTTTGTTTCAGTCTCACGTAGCAAAGATCGACACAAAAGGAGTTTAGATTACAGTGTGACACAGTTCTGTACTGGGCGCGCCAAACCAGTATTTGCATTTAATTATTTCATGTATTTTTCTTTTTTGTTTGTTATGGACACAAGAGTTTCATTGGACAGACCAGATGCTTTTAGTGTTGGAGCAGGACCATGAACATTTTCAACACTTAATACGCAAAGAATCACATTTACAGTTCAATAAACATGTGAACAGCTTTGCGCTGATTTCAGCCACAGTTTCAGACTCTGGTCACGATGATTGTAGTTATAGGGACTACAGCAGTTATGGCCATCAACATGTGACTTTGGAGGTCAGCTCTCGAGACTTCAATGCTCCTTTTCCAAAGTCGAGCTGTATGAGGACTGAGGAGAACTTTTTTTTTTTCGATCCTTAGCAGCTTGGAATCTGCTGGTTATGGCATCAAGCGTAAACTAATAATAGATATACTTTTAAGAAAAAAGATAAAACAACAATGCTTGAATGAATGTTGAACGATGATGTGAAATGTATATTCAGTTTTGGGTTATTTTGTAGTGTAATTGCTTTTTCTACTGTATGTTTGAAATGTTTTGATGTGATCCTTTGTGGAGTGGACCCCAGGAAGATATAGCTTGTGGAAGCTAATGGGGATCTAAATAAATAAATAAACTTATATAGAACCACACTGACTGAGGCTCTGGTGTTTATCCGTTGTCCATGGTGGCAGCAGTCTAAGCAGAGACCCCCGACTTCCCTCTCCAAACACACACTTACTCCAGCTCATCCGGGGGCATCCCAAGGCGTTCCCAAGCCAGCAGGGAGACACAGTCCCTCCAACGTCCTGGGCATTCTCTGGTGCCTCTTCCGGGTATTAATTGTTACAATCCTATAATAACTATTAATATAACAGCTAGTACTAATTTAATTCAATTCAACGTAGTCTTGTATAGGCCTAAATCACAACACTAGTGATCTCGGAGGACTTTACACAACCATGTAATTCGTCAACACAGATCAGAGAATGAAACCTAATAATATAAACAATAAAACAGAACACATTGGTCCATAAGGGTCCAGAAGTGTTGATAAATGTCCATAAATGTTGTTGAATGTTGAGTGTCCTGGATCATCCCCACTGTCCTTGTAGTTAATGTATTACTAGTATACTACAACCATAGTATTGTAATCTACTATGATAACAACTTGACATGTCATCACACAACATTACAGTTAGATTTCCCACACTCAGAGTCAAAAATACTGCAGATTTTTAGCAATACCAATGTTAAATTTTATGTATAAATATTCCCCATCACCACCACGCCCATGCTGCTACTGGGACGCCCTTACCCTGCAACGTAATCCACGGTAGATGCTTTAACATAACCGTGCACAGTAGAAAACACATCTAACATTTTAGTGACAGCATAACGTGACATTTCTACGTCGACTTTCACGCAACCGTTAGAACCGTTGATCGCGTGCTACAACACTGACGCAACCATTATGGCTAACCAGCTGCTAACGTTAGCATGAAGTCCGACAATAAACAACAATGCATCTGCTGCTGCCGCCCGTGTGTCAAGTCGTCGCTTTGTATTCGGCAAGTACATGTACAAGTGTATGAATAGAAAGCACCTTTTATTACCAAACTATGTGGTATTATCTGGGGGTTAACGGCTAATTATTACGATGCAACCATAGAAACAGCAGCAGTGTGATTACAAGTGGTTGCGGCGTTACTAATATGTTATAGGCAGCTAACAGCTTAATGAGGCAAATCCTTACCCCGAGTGTGAAGCTAACTCCGTGGATCCTCCCCAGAGTCAGTCCCGCGGGGTCATAAGTGTGCGGTTCTGCTCCAAAGACAGAGGTGGATTAGCGGTGATGATCCTGATGTAAACTCCGGGCGTCCAAAGGAAAAAGGGGAATGCAGGAATGTGACGTTCTCTCTGGTTCGCTGGCAACGCTGACACGTGCAACCGGGAGAGAGGCATTGTGGGAAATGTAGTTAATGTGGTGTGAAGAAGAGGCGGACGGGAAGATGTCAAACCCGAATGACTTTCTTCAGAGAGCTGGAGCAGACTTTGTTTTGTTACAGTTTTACGCTTTATATATTGGACCTATTATTTACGTAAATACATTCAAATTATTGTAAAAGTGTTTGCCAGAGTATGTTTCATAAATGAGATCAGATAACATAACCTGTATATACCAAACCGTTTTGAGGGACAGGGACTACTTATGTTTTCGTTTTATTTTCATTTTCCTCATTATTTTATATTTATTTCTGCATTTTTATTTTACTGTTTTTTTCTGTCAGCACTTTGATAAGCCAAATGTGATCTACAAATAAAGATGTGATGAATTGAGATCCATTATTTTTTTATATTTATTACATTTTGTGGCTTTAGTAAGGTACTCCAGTGTTCGAGGTAAAAAAAAAAAAAAAAAAGGTACACAAACATGAGTTAAATTCTAAAGCACCAGAGTGTCCAATTTGACAAAAAGTTAAAAGTAATTACATTTTTGAGATGCAAGCCTTAAAGCCTTCTTCCAGAGTTCAGTTCTAGTACCAACAGTTTTGAAAAAGTTCTTGTGATCTTTTGTCCTCTAGGCAGAGTTCCAGTTGAACAAAAAAGGCAGATAATCCGGAGGTTTTCCAATCAACACTTTACAAATAAATGTGTTACAACGTTGCTCTTATGGACAGTGAAGGAAACTTCACAACGTTTCAGTGATGAGTTAAACTCGTCATCAATGAGAAAGTGAAGAACCAAATTAAAAGTGTATGAAGCAAAATAATTGTACATAAATAGCATAGGTAACATCACAGTAGTCCTGCGCTCAGGTCTCTTTTAAGCAGCAATCTATGGAACAGTCTTCCTGAGCTTGTAAAGACCAGGCCTCGTCCTTCGTCTTGTTTACACCCTATTCATCTTTTTTCTTAATACAATATGTTTCACGGTGTTGATTATTAATTAGATGTATTGGTTTGTTTAAACAAATACACAATGACATTTCCAGATAATTATTTGTCAAGCAAAAACCCTTGCAATTATCTTAGAAAAGTAGCCTTTCTATTCCACATAAATCCTGTGTAGCGGCCAAAACTTGCCCTGTGCAAGGTCCGCTGGATGCAGTGTGTTGGCGTCTAGGACGCGTGTCTCTCACCATCCAAATAGAGCAAAATACTGTGTTCTACAATCCTTTATTGTTGCCAAGTACACAAATATAAAGCTGTGGTAACAAACAACGGTCGAAAGATGTTTGCCTCCACACTACAACACCTGTCTGTCATTAGTGCCCCACTTATATAGGGCATACTATCTAGGTGGCGCCACACAGTGGCAGGAGGCAGCAAAGGAAAACACAGGAAACTGGCTCCAACACACCGGCCCCTTAATTGTGAAAGCCAGGAGCTAAACAATTACAAATTCAAATAAACATGGAGCCATACTTTAACTTAGCAAGTTTGTCACATTGGGAACATATTTTTCAAAAAACACAAAATTTCAATGTCCACATATTCAAAGTCATTGTTCAATACACAGAAAATACATTTGGCATTTAATATCCATCCTGTTATGTTTCATTATTCAAAACTATTTCCAGCGCTTTCTTTTGAAAGCTTTGCGCAACTTTAGCTTAAACATTTTGCTGGCTGAAAGCACATACAGAATCCAAAGACAGTTCACGAGAACAACAAAATCAAAATGAGTGTTTCTTACAAAAGCATTGTTGTGCTTGCTTTTACTACGCCACTGTGGCAGTGGAAAAATCCTGGTGTGACCATGTCTGGGCCACTGCAGGCCAGCTTCTGCTGCAGCAGGCCTCCCACTACAGGCTGCAAGGCAGTCAATAAGACAGGAACAGCAGAACTTTCCTGCTCTTCATCCTCTGTACTGTCCATCTTTTTCCACGAGCATGTCTCAGTGTCCAAATCCAATGTCACCGTTCGCTCATGGTCCATAAGGGAAATCTCAAAGTCCTCCCGACGGTCTGGTGAAGATGAACAGTTCACATCAGCCATTTGTGTGGCACTACCGGCCCCTGTTGGCTCAAGCGCATCCACCAAAGTGGGAATGTAAACTGGTGGCTCCCAGTCAAATCCATCCCAGTCATCAGCGGTCCCAGTTGGCTCAAGTGAACCCACCAAAGTGGGTACATAAACTGGTGGCTCCCAGTTAAATCCATCCCAGTCATCATCAGTCCTAGTTTCTTTTATAACTGCAGGGACAGTTGTGGTTGGGACTTGTGTTTGCACCCTAGGCTCTATTGGAAGAGATTTATTTTTATGCCGATGCTTCTTTGAGGCATTCAACACTGCAAGTTTAGCTGTCACTTCAGTCATTTTAGTTTCAAATTCCAGCTCTTCCAATTGTCTCTTAATGGCTAGTTGCTTTGCTTCCAGTTCATATTTCTCTTCCAAAAATGACATTTTAACTAGAAGCGCAGCTTGCTTAGCTTTTATTTTAACCAAAGCTGCAGCAGCTGAAGCTCTCTCTTTTTTGTCAGTTTTGTTCAAATCCCTGGTGCACATTTTTTACAGTATTCCTTTTTACAGTGTCCACCTCACAGTCCATGTACCGCTCCTAAACGTGTAGTCTGTGCGGAATTATGTCGCACACAGAAATCAGAACTGCTCACCACGCGTAGCCTTCTCCAAACGCGGTGCCGAGCTCCTCCGCGGTCCACTCCTCTGCGGTCCGATCCGTGCTGCAGGACAGGACAGTTTGCGCGCCGAGTCTTCCCTCGCCCGCACTGGTGGTGGAGGACGCCGGTGCTCTCTCCGGTGTTTTTGCCCTTTCCTCCTTCCCGCCGACAGTCCGCCGGTTCGCCGCGCCCCTGTGGCAACGAGTCACCGCCACGGTAGGCGTGGGTCCACTCCTCTCCAGGAAACCGCGCTGTGCCAATCACAGCTGACGCAATCTTCACGCCCAGACGGTACCTGAGGCTATCTTTCGACAATGTAGCGGCCAAAACTTGCCCTGTGCAAGGTCCGCTGGATGCAGTGTGTTGGCGTCTAGGACGCGTGTCTCTCACCATCCAAATAGAGCAAAATACTGTGTTCTACAATCCTTTATTGTTGCCAAGTACACAAATATAAAGCTGTGGTAACAAACAACGGTCGAAAGATGTTTGCCTCCACACTACAACACCTGTCTGTCATTAGTGCCCCACTTATATAGGGCATACTATCTAGGTGGCGCCACACAGTGGCAGGAGGCAGCAAAGGAAAACGCAGGAAACTGGCTCCAACATCCTGAGACTGTCTCTTTGTAAATTTCTCAAGGTCAATACAGTCTTTCTTATCCATGGATCTATAAGGTATTTTCTTATCTGGGAGTTACTTGAAATGTGTCAAGATTGTGCCACCTGCTGGCTAATGTTAGAGTATACTGTCTCTGGGCCTTTGGGTGATTGTGTTTCATATGTTTGTCCTTTTTATGGCAACTAGACATAGTAAAATAGAAAATAAAAAACGTATAATTGTATGTTGTCTGGACCCGCATCAAAGCTGCTCAATTGTTGTACGGAAATTGAGTTGAGCGTAAAAGAAGTAAAACATTGAAAATGCCAAAAAAAATTGTTTTGTAATTTCTAATGTCTTGACAATTTTTGGAAAAAGGTAATATACGTAATGAATGACAGTATGGATTTAGGGCCAGAGCAGCATCACTTGCACCTTTAGACTCTGTAGAAGAAATATCCGTAGTTCCGTAGATGACAAAATTCATACAATTGGAATATTTATCAATCTGCAGAATTAGAGCAGTGTGGGATCAGAGGAAACGTGCTAGACTGGATGAAAAGTTATCTGAGTCAAAGAAAGCAGTCTGTGAAGCTGCGAGGTTGCTTCTGAATGCCTCGACGTTTCATGTTGGGTCCCACAGGGGGCAGTATTGAGCCCAAAATGTTTTCTTATATTAAGTGTCTGAAGAATTGAAATTGGTGTTGTTTGCTGTTTGCAGAAGACACCAATTTGTTTTGTTCAGGTCGTGGTCCTTCAGTTGTTAGAGATAAATATAGAGAATATAATATAAAGTTATGGTTTGATTCAAATCAATTATCACAAAATTTAATGATGTTTGTAATGGTTGAAGCAATTTGCACAGAGATATTAAGTATTGAAAGGGTTATTGAAACAAAAAAGGGTGAGGCACATAATTAGTAGAGAAAGGCAAGTTTTATTTCAATGTGGAGAGACTGGAACAGAGAAAACATGGCGTTATTAGAATTGTACATTGGTCAGCAGTAATCTGACACTACATCAATTACACAAATGACTCTGAGGAGGATTTGGTTAGGCTAGGTTAGGATTTGGCGCTTAGACCCCCGGGGCCTAGACCCAGGAGGTACCCTGCAACAAGGTGGAGATGGGGAGGAGGAGGGTTGTACAGTGGAGTGGAGTTTGCATGTTCTCCCTGTGTCTGTGGAGCTTTGGTTTCTCCTACCACTAAAGCATGTGTAATAGGTCAAATCCTCAGCTCTGGTCCAAGTTGAACACGAGGGCCCTAACCCTAGCCCCCACAAGTATTTATACTTTATTTAACCGTTACTGCTATTGCCACTCTTTCTTTTATTGACACTTTTTTATTGAACATTATTATATCCTGCACAGACTATATTTTTAACCTTAAACATTTTGCACACTTCTGTCTCATGCACAATCAGAGTGAATCTATCTGTGCCAAATGTGACATGTTCATTTCTCCAGTGTGAGATTATTAAAGTCTGTATTATCTTATCTTAGTTTGACATACCTCAGACCCCCTGCTGACCCTGCCAGCCATTCAACAAACCAGCTTCTCTTCATGTGATGTATACATGCACTAATGCCAATTTGACTTGGATATCAATTTGACTTTGCATACAATTTTCTACATTTTTTAGATCATTTCTGTCTGTACAGTGTATAGACACACCTCAACGATTAAATTGTGATATTGTGAGTACAATATATCACAATTATCTGCATTTAAAGATACAAATAAGTCAGTACATACACAATAGTAAATAATTACCTCCAAAACATTGAATCTATGTGTTTTGGTCTAATCTTTCATGAAACTTTAGCGACTTTGGAGATAGAGAACAGAGCCTGGAACAGGCCTGGCTCCTCAGGTCGGCCCACACAAAGCAGAGCTGGCACCGCAGGGAGGGATGGGACCGAGGCACCAATTAGCCGGAGCAGGAGTGAATGTGCATGACCATGTTTCCGTGCGCCTGTGGCTTGGACAGTTCCGTTCACCCGTGTTTTTGTGATATAAAAGGCACGACCCTAAACATGGAATTAGAGAGTTTGGGGTTTTAGGTCTCAGGATCTTCCCTTGCTGTGGTCTGTGAGAGTAACATGTGACATAAACAACACCAGTCTGACTATTACAAGGTCTTTCTTCTGCCGCGAAAGACCGGAATATTTGAGCTGGTGCCGATGTGAAGTTCATTAGGACCTGGGTTTCATTGTTAGTTCGTCTGAAGGAGCGCGGAGAAGGTGGGAGAAAAGCAGTCGGTGGAAAAGAAACCAGACTGAATGTGTTTTTGTTGTAAAGGCTAAAGCTTTGCACAAAGATCACACATGAAAAACCAGAATCAAAACACGGAGGCAAAGGTTCAATCGGCTAAACAGACAGAACACTGCAGAGCGGCAGGTGGGGGCCGCACACGGATCATCGTGGCACAAACGCCTGAAAGAGACAAACGCGTCGCCATTTTCCGTTCTATAATGAGAGCGGATTTTAAAACGATATTTGTCTCTGCATGGCCTCGCAGCAAGCACATGTTAGTGCCATATGAACCAACTGGGACTCTGAGGAGCACAGGGACTGGCCTCCTGCTGGGACTCTGAGGAGCACAGGGACTGGCCTCCTGCTGGGACTCTGAGGAGCACAGGGACTGGCCTCCTGCTGGTCCCAGAGTCAGACCTAAACATGGAGAGACAGCATTTTAGATTCATGCAGTTAAAATCTGGAACGGTCTTCCAGAAAATGTGAGACAGGCTTCATCTCTGACAATGTTCAAATCCAGGTTAAGACGTTTCAGTTTATCTGCGACAACTGATGTACTCTGATTATGTTATCATGACTTTAATGCCTTGTGTAATTTTTTATATCTTGTTTTGTTAACCACTTTGAGTTACCTTGTGTTTGAACTGTGCTATACAAAAAAACTTGCCGTGCCTAATCTACTGCAGTATCAATGTGCACTTGTACCAAACCCAGCAACACAGCGGAGGACGTCTTTGGACATGCAAGAGTTTCTGTAAAGGGACTTCAGATTTTAAAAGATTGTTTTGGATTCTATATATTGGACTTAGATGAAGACCAGAGATGTGACGCAACAGCTCAAAGAGGACCGTGAGTCTGTTCTGGAGGTTCTGATGAATCCAGACTCTTAAAATCAGACTCTTAAATCCAGGCTCTTTACAGACGCAGCTGCCTCACTGTGGCACCTGGTGTTCCCATGGTCTCCCATCACTGTTCTGACCAGGCCCTGTCCCGCTTAGCTTCAGAGGTCTGGAACTGGCTTCAACCTGCAGGTAGATTTGAAAATATATAGCTCCTCCACAGCAGCACACCAACCAGCTCCGTCAGCTCCTCTGCCTCCTCCACCAGCCCCGCCTCCTCTGCCTCCTCTTCCTCCTCCTCCACCTGCCTCTCCTCCTCCCCCACCTCAGCCTCCTCCACCAGCCCCGCCTGCTCTTCCTCCTCCTCCTCCTCCACCAGCCCCACCTCCTCAGCCTCCTCCTCCTCCACCACCAGCTTCTCCTCCTCCCCCACCTCAGTCTCCTCTGCCTCCTACACCATCTCCTCCTCCGCCTCCTCCAGCAGCTCCTCCTCCTCCCTCAGCTCCTGTTCCCCCTCCTCCTCCCTCAGCTCCTGTTCCTCCTCCTCCTCCCTCAGCTCCTGTTCCTCCTCCTCCTCCCTCAGCTCCTGGTGCCCCCTGAGCTCCACTGACACTTTTACAAACTCAGAATCTATCTATTCATACATTTTTAGCTGTGTTTTTTCCTTTTAACGTTGTACCTTGTGTTGGGTGACCTTGATTGTTATTACTACTATTACTACTTTTGTCATTATTAGAATCCTGTTTATTTCCATAAGTTACAGAAAGTTACAGGAATTTGCTGTGACTCAGGTGCCAAAGCAAATATATAATTTTATTTTTATTTTGAATCTTTTCTGCTCGGGTTCTGATGGTCAGACCTGAGCTGTGCAACACACTCTGGCAATTGCAAAAAAATCCTGAAACAGATTACATTTGGAAATAGAAAAATAACACTTCTGCTCGACAAACAAAACAAAATATACCATTGACAAATTGAAAATGTTCTCAAATCAAGAAGTTTGCAAAGAACTTAAATAATTGCAGTCTTTGCTGTGTTTCTTTATTTTCTCATTCCAATGGAGACATTTGTTGAATCTTTTTAAAACAAGATCATTTTGCTTTGTCCCATTGACAAATCTAGTTTAAAGGCTCAGTCAAAATGTACCAAAATTGAGATACATTTTGCCAAATTTGAGCCATTTTCTTCTTATTTTTAAATCACTTTCTGCAGCGTAGATAAACTCAAAAGGAAACAATATAATCACACACAGATACAGCATATATGTCCAGCAGTGATGTCCTGAAGCTCACACTTTTGCTCGGTTCTGGGCGGAGGCTGCAGAGAAGCCGAGCACACGTTGAGTAGGTGGGTTTTCTCCGAGTGGGAGAGGTGGGAAAGGGGCAGATGGGAGACGGAAAGTTCAGCAGCACCTCCTCACACTCAAACCAGGACAACCACAAGCGAAGAGGAAGAGGTAGCAGTCTCTCTCTCTCTGAGGCGCAGTGAGACAAACGGCCAGTGGGGGGCAGTATAGGTGTGACACAACGGGCTGGAGAGAGGGAATAGATCCATGGACCATAGTCACTGTCCTTGTTCAGAATCCACCGCGACATTGAGAATCACTTTTTTAATTTTTTTGTTATCCATTTTTACTGTGTGTAAGAAACAGAATTTAAAACAAAAGATATAGAACATTTATCAATTTAATTTATTTAATCTCGATGTATTTTTGTTTTGCCTTAAATCACAACAGCAGTCGCCTCGGAGGACTTTACTAAATTAGGATTAAGAGAGCTATTACTTTTCCCACGGTGGGGAAATTTCAGTGTTGCATCACCAGTTCCAGAACAGTAGCAATGAGGAGCACACAGCACAAAATATATTAACAATAACGTTGAAAATAAAAACATAATCTAGCTTTAGCATAATAATGAATCACGTATAGAATAGTCTATTCTAGTGCAGTAAATATATACCTGTGTGTTTACATCTAAAGCAGCAGGAGGGTCTGGGACAAAGTGACAGTGACAGATGTGGTTCTAAATTGCACATTCTGACATTATTTAAAGTTATTGCACAGATGGGACATGTGAGGTCAGGTCGGCAGTGGTCGTTATACAGTCTGACAGCAGCAGGAAAGAACGACCTGCAGAACACAGCAAGGGTGGATCAGTCTGTCATGTTGAGATTTAAAACACTTGTCTATTGTCTTAAAGTTCTGTAACTTCTATGCATCTGTTGTTATTAGTGATGTTGGGAAGATATTCTGCATTTATCTTGCTGAAAATATAAAAATTAAGATACCTGCTTCATTGGGCTCAAAGGCAGACGATTGGAATTACCAGCCTTTGTGTCTCAGAGTGAAGAGAGAGGTTTCAGGTCAGAGAGAAGAGAAGAGTCTAAACTAAAGGATCAACTTGTAGAGTAGAACATTCTAGTACGTGTTTAAAATATTGCTGATAATCTGTAACACAACCACTTCGTGCATGTTACGTCCATCTTTCAACCATTCTGTCTGTTTTAAACGTTTTTTAACTCGCCCACAAGCTGCAGGTGGAGCCGCCCCCCCCCCCCCCCCGTCCCGACTGCGGGATCTGCCTCAGTCCTGTCTCAGCCTCAGTTCTGGATCTACAGCCTGTGAGTCCGTGGGAGCAGATCTCTCTCTCAGTATGGGCCTTTTCACACTGGGTTTTAGAGTTGTTCCTTCCTTGCCGATGCAGAAGGTCGGTGAGACTGTGGCGATGGTCCATGACACTCAGTCAGTCAGTCAGTCAGTCAGTCAGTCAGTTATGGACATTGGTCTCTGCCCCTTCTGGACCAAAGGCTCTATGTGTTTTTTTTTCATTGCATTCCTTGTCTTTGAGCTGTTTGACTCTCCGGTCTGTGTTGGCAAATTCAACGTTTTTGTTAAGTCCTCTGAGAAAACTACTGTTGTGATTTAGGGCTGAAACCCTGGACTCCCTGGACCTGAGGACTAGTCTCTGGTCTCCACCCTCCATTTAGTTTTATTTCAAGAACTGTCGGTTGATTATCTCATTCTAAGGGACACATTTCTTGCACTTTTCTCAAACAATATCATTTTCACTTTGTCCCACCGGCAAATCTTGTTTTAAGGCTCAGGATGTGCTCAAATTAAGAGACATTTTGGGACGCCGTGGTTCTGTGAGGCCCCTGGAGACGACTGTTACTGTAATTTTGAAAAATAAAAATAACATTGATTGTACTTGATGTACAGATATACAATAATAATAAAAAAACATAATTAAATGTGTATATTCAAAGCGCTCTTCTTTGTTAGAAACCTGATGAACGCGGTTAAAGGAAGTTGCTAAGACACGGATCTCAATTATCTTCTGCTGGAGTTATTTATAAAACTTTACCTGCGTCAGTTCCACACGTGACGCTCAAAACTGACAACAACAATTAGTCAAGACAGATATGGTATCACAAAGTTTGCCAGAAAAAACAAATAACTCAAACATGACACTGGACTTAAATCAGAGTTTGATCATGAATCTGGTGTAGAGTGAATAAAAGCTTTAGCTGTGATCAACAACACGCTCCTCGCTCACTGAGCATGAGTCAGAACCAGAGACAGTCATCTCCTGTTTTTGGGAAACTTGGATTAACAACACTCCTTCTCAGATTGAAATTACATCTCGTTTTTGCTTTCTCAGATTAACCCTTTAGGTGCCAAAGAGGCGGAAATTCTACAAAAGTTACATACACCTTTATATTTCTTACACTATACAGTATTTTACACATGCATCTTTTTAATGCTGAAAATATAGAGATTTAAAAATTTTCTTACGTCATTTTCTCTGTGTATTTCCATTATTGATTAAAGTAGTGTTTAGATGGCTCATTACAGTAACTATAAAGATCATATAAAAACGTGTTGAAGCGAGTTGGAGCAAAACATATTTTAAAAACGGAGCAAAAAATACCGGATTTGATTAAAAAAAACACAGAAACCGGAAATGAGACATGGGAGAAAACACGGTGAATCGACAATAGGAGAAAAGAAGAGCAGGGACACAAACAGATAGACAAAAAGAGATATATAGATTTATATTATTGCCCACAGGAGAAATTCAGGTGTCCACTTGAAGAAACACCCATACAAACATAAATAAATACATAATTCTAAAAGTTGCTAACAATAGTAAGAGTGTGGCAGGCAACCATGGATCTATTAAAATAACTGGATAGGGTATTTCTAGTTTGGAGCTGAGGAACCATGTGCTCAGGGGATTCTCGCGGTACTGCAGACTGAACCAGACTAAATACACGTGGGCTCCCGGACATTTTCCCCATAGAACTCAATGTAAACTAAATCAGCTTACAGAGAACCTGACAGAGAACTTTCATAAAGATCAGATTTTGTGGGGATTTTAGTGTCCCTTGTCATCCTGAACTTTTTTTCTTCTTAAATCCTTCGGTTTTCTTTAAATCCACACTTTCCAATCCAAACTCTGCCCGTCTGGCTCTCACTCTAACTCCCGCTCTAACTCCGCTCTGATCAGCAGCTCTGATTGGTCAGAGCGTGGCCGAGCCCCTCTGTGCACGTGCATGAGAGCCACACACGTATTTGCCGCAAAGCATCATGGGAGATCGTCCACTGCGCAGAACCGGGAGGACCAGACGATGCCCAAATATAGCGAGTGATATGGCAAGTTCCGCTAATAATGTATGTCAGCGCCCGTGCCGGCACATGCGCCACTGAGCCATAGACTGTATATATTAACGAACAGAGTCACGCCTATCTCCGCCGTTCTAACGAATGGGCCAAAAAATGTGCTCTACCGGAGCAATCCAAAATGGCCGTGAGTGGTCCCGCCCACAAGAAAATTGGGACATTTTTGCGCCGTCACCCGGTGCAGCTCCATTCATTTGAACGCAAGTAAACTAGAGTGGACCAAAACAATCCACCCCCCTCAGCATTGACACACATGTGGAACGGAGCTTTGGGCCAAGAGCCAACTTTTGGTCCATCCTGTTTTTGAGAGGTCTGCCAATGCTATATGTTAGCATTGGCTAATTCTTCTTCTGGGTCCACCCCCATTGGCCCGGGGTGGTATTGCAAGCATGTCAGCGCACGTCATTTTGGCCTCTTTTGAGCCAGGACCCGCCCCCACTGCACTGAGCACAAACCATTCTTTTGAATACGGTGCCATCTTAGTCTATATCCACACAAAGACAAAACGCTTATAATTTCAGAAACTTTTTCTGTAAACACGGAGTTAGCTCAGTAAATGTGTGCGTCCATATGAATGTAGTCAATACGCCTGAAAACGCTGTGAAACTATGCCAGACCTGTTGGTGGCGCTGTGACGCAATGACGGGATCAAGCCCAAACTTCCGTGACGGGAACTGGGCATGCGCAGAATTTTGTAAACAGACAACATGGCGAGTGGGCGAGCTGGTACTACATTAGTATGGACGGACGATGAGGTTGAACTGTTGCTTCGGGTCACACTGGATTACAAAACCAACAAGCTACATTGTTGTTGTCATTATTTTCTGAGTGCGGCGCATGCGTGCTTTACCAAGAGGCGGGGCGATGACGCAAGCGTCTCAGATACATTGCGGAGAGGCAGTAACCACGGAGCGGCATATACGGAGTTTTGAAATCTTTCCACTCTGGGACCTACTTTCAAAAATGTTCGTTTACACCCCCCCAAAACGCCGGCCTCGTATGGACGATACACTGGATTGATAAAGTATTTTTGCGTTTAGGCCTGAGCTTGACTTCGTGTGGACAGGGCCTTAGATTTCCGGGGCTTGCAGGCAACCGACTGAACAGACAGGATGTAAAACTGCAAATATATATTTTTTTAAAACACCGGGTAAAAGTAATCAAAAAGTCCACACCGTGACATTTCTCATTGGGCTTCATCGAGCTACCGTGTTAGCATTGTCCATCATAACTACGGTTTGAATATTATGCTAGCTTCATAACAAAAATTGCAAATCAAATCTCAAATTGAAATGTTTTAAAATCCTGCACTCCCAATTCATAACATAGTTAATACCTGTTATATTCAGAGTTATTTACATGCTAAAGCTAGAGATGTTATACAGCAAAAGTAATCAAAAAGATCATACCATAACAAGCACTTCCTTATTGCGCTTCATGGAGCTAGCGTGTTAGCATTGTCCATCTATATACATGAACATTATGCTAGCTCCATAACAGAGATCGCCATTTCAGATATCAATCGGATATCGCAATCCTTCAGCCCTAATTCACAATATAGTTAAAAACTGCCGGTTATTTTCATGCTAAAGCTAGAGATTTTATTCAGCAAAAGTAATCAAAAGGTTTGCACTGTAACAAGCCCTTCCTTCTCGGGCTTCATGGAGCTAGCGTGTTAGCATTGTCCATCTATATACATGAACATTATCGCGAATCAAATCTCAATCGGATATTTCAGTTAATATGTGTTATTTTCGAAGTCGGTCAGTCCCATATTGTTTTGTTTTACGATTATGAGTCTGATTCTGCCTTCTGGAATTCTGTGCAACCTCCAGAATGACTAAAAAGACAGGCTGATTACACCTCTGCATACACACGGGAACCATCTCATAAAATGTGAGCAATGTTTTTTTT